CACGTGTTAGGACCCTTCGACGAAGGCACCGATCTTTGCTGTACTGGTTGCGAGAAGCGCACGGCGCTGCGGAATTTGTCGGATGATCCTAAAGGAGAAATGTGGCGGTCTTCAAGATTGTGGCGAGAGCGGGGCCACAACAAAGCGCGTCCAAGCGTGAAGCTGGCCTACAGACAGGAGCTCGTTCGCAAACACAATGAGAAGGCTCAGACGCAAGCTCTGCATATATGGTTGTACCAACTGATATGCGGCAAGGTGGGACTTGCACTTTGTGTCGTGAGGAAGCACCCGAAATTTGGAGAAGAGTTGTTGAATTCACCCGGCAATGTTGCCCTGGCAATGCGGGTGAAGATGCTTAGGCCCCGTTATGCGGTCGATTTATAAGAATCGTCTCTGCATGCTTTTCAACCGGAAGCTCTTTTTCATTTTGCGTTGACCACAGCAATCGCTTAGCGACTGCAGCTTGCGTATACCAAATGACACTTCCTTGCGCTGCATGACTTAGTCACTACCTTTTGCATGATGCACCGCATGCTGTGCATTCAGAGTTATGGGAAACCAGCCCATACAGGAGCCTTGGCTCCGAACCATGTGCTCATGTTCCAGAACCCCGCGCTGGGGTACGCACCACCGTGCGTGGACGTTAGCAGAGTCAAGGTCTTCAGGACACCTTGCTGGCTGCTCGTACGAAGGCTTCAAGTCAACTTCAAATCTTTTCCGCAGCACGCTCTGCGTTCCGGAGCGGGGTTCCGTTCTGCAGTGTGGTTCCGGAGCGGTGCCGGAGTGGGTTCTGGAGTGGTTCCGGGCGGGTTTAGGAAGGTTCCGGCGCGGGTTCCGGAGCATGTTCCTGAGCAGGTTCCGGAGCGGATTTCCGGAGGGTATTCCAAACCGGCATTTCCGGAGCGGCTTCCCCGCTCGCTCAGACCAAAACCATTGTGTGCCAAGCCTCGCAACATGCATGATCACCAAAGACTAGGGCATACAGTGCCCTATGCTATATGCCATGCAGGCTTTGCACAAGGTTTGTTATGGTGATATCATAACATCCATTTGCCATCAGCTGTTGGGGCTTCAGTGGGCTTATTCTTAGCTTCGTGCCCACTATGGGGCATGCTGTTTTTGTGAATCGTTTGCGCGTGTCAGTGCGACTTTCTCAGGTGCACACGGTGGGACGTCCAAGGCCTGGTGACCTGCTGTTTTGGTCGGTGATGTTCGCCACTTCTCAACAAAGCTGAAGCCTCGGTCGGCACGGTTGCCCAGAGGATCGGGGTCTTGAAGCCAAGATAAATTCACATTAGTCTTGACAGTCGCTGGTCTACTTCGCTGCCAAACCTTAGAGAGCCGTGTCGGAGTGCAGGGAAGCTGGCTGGGAAAGTCTGGCAGCCGCGGAGCACCCTGGACGAGAAATCAAGACAAGTAGTGAGGCTTCGGACTGTTCGCAGAGCAACGGCCCCCAAGGTTTGTTTTTCGATGAAGCCTTTGACAGATGTCCACATGTAAGGTATACGCGCCGGCTGGAGCGTGGTCGGCCGCCAATCTTGGCTCGCACCACCTTCTATTCAAGCAGCGTCTCGGAGCACAGCCGCTGCTTCGCTACTGCTGCTGTTGCTGTTTGATGGTGGTTGCTGGTTGTTGGTGTTTGCTGATCGCTGGCTGCAGGTTGCGCTGGCTGCCGGTTGCTGGTGGCCAGTTGTTGGTTGTGGTTGTTGTGATTGTCGTTCATAGATGGTCCATGGTAGTACTACATATTTGCTTGCGCTTGACATCCCGCTCTAAGCCGAGCTAGAGTCCATTGTCAAAGCCATGAAGCTCCAAAGCTGTCCAACATTTCGGCAGGGTCTCTCTTCATGATCACCGTAGTGTGTAGTCTCTCTTTGCGTGGTGCATGGGTCGCATGTTCAGTTTTTTGTTTGGACAGCCGGGAGAGAGATGCAGCGTGGCCGTGCAACAGGCGATGCGCTGATGCGAGGACTGCAGGGGCTGACGGGCTCCCTGTTTGTGCGCTGGCGAAACTCCCACAGTAAATCAGCAACGCATGCAAACCCCGGAGGGTCAAAACTTGTTTCACAGGCTCTTGCATGGTCTTTCGAGGGTGATAGGATTCTGGCCACACAAAGGGACGGTCTTGCGGTTTGGGTGGCTAGAGGACGCGGCTATATCTGCCTGTCCCGCTAACTCCCCGAGCCGTTGGCATTTGCAGAACTTGATAGCATTGGCATGTAGTCATATGTGTTGAGTAGTTTCTGAATGCGCAGCATGTGATTGTAGCGGGCCGGTGGCCGGCCGTGACAGCAAGCCTAAACAGTTGCAGAAACCAAGCAAGACATGTAGTCCCGCGAGTTCTGGAATTGCACGAGCTCCGATCGTGGAACGCGTGCTCCGTCCTCTTACAGAGTCTTTGAGCGGAGGTATTGGATCCCTCGGGTGAAGCCATGGAAAGCGACACCTTTGCCAAGTTGATTCTTGGAGCTCTGCAGGAGACTGCCCGTGTCGGGGAGCCTGGGAGCGGTTTTGCCGTAGGATGGGCTGATGGTTTGATGATGTTGGATGGCATGATGTGGGGGCTTCGTGAGGTTATTTCTTAGTCATTGAACGTCGCACGTTTTAAAGCGCTGGGCACGGCTATAGCGGAGGCATCAATGCTAAAATCGCGCTGCGTGTGTGGTCCCGTGACGATTCGTACCAGGAATTGACAATCTTTTCTGTGGGCGCGAAGTGCATTGTCGCATTTGGGCCTCGCGCAATGACAAGCTTATGTGGATGCGGCGTGTGCGGACGCCACGCCTCTATTGCCACGTCAGTGCATGGGGGGAGCAGTGAAGCATGTTGGTCATTGAATCCCGCAAAGGGGGAAGCATCGCGGTCATGTCTCTGAATCTGCCTGTGTATTGAGGGCAGTATTTCGGCCGCGGTCCCGAATCCCACCAGTACATGGAGGGAAGCATTTTGGTTGAAGTTTGTAGAAGGGGTTATAGATAATGTATAGAACGGTTCGTTGAATAGCTTGCAGGAGTCTATAGAGTCGTATGTAGAAGGGTTGGATAGGGTTGGTATGGAAGGATTTATAGACGGGTTTGCAGAAGGGTTCACAGAAGGGTTTACAGAAGCGTTTCTAGAAGACCTTGTAGAAGGGTTTGTAGAGAGGTTTGAGAGGTTTATTATAGGGTATGTTTTACGAATCGGGTCGTTCAATCTGAAACACCGCTGCTACGTTGCTCCAAGTGCTTTTGGGACTCGACGGAGGCTGGGTACCTCGGAGCTGAAGCGATGCTCCAAAGTGCTATGTGATCCTGAATTGAAGCTCTGAACCGAGCAGACGTTCCAGTGGACCGGAAATTCTGAGGTCTCCTTTGCTATTGGTGGCGCGGACGGTCTGCCGGAACCCCTGCGCCCGGGTTGCCGGGAGTTCGCCCGCACCGTGAGGTGCTTCATGAGCGTCAGGGCTTTGAGCTTTAGGAGTCACCCTTACGGCACACACCAGTTTGTTTGTGCAGGAGCAGAATGCCAGCTGTTGCTGTTGAAGTCGGCCCGCCTGCATCTTTGCGACCGGCAGGCACTTGTCACTGAGCCAGATGACGTTCCCTCATCGACTGGCGCGGGTGCTGTTGCTGGAGCAGGTGTGCTCGTGGCATTTACTGGCGTGTGGCCAGAGGGTCACGGAATCCATGTCTAAGACGTCGTTTGGTCCCGTTCAAACACCTTTCCGACGGCAGTGGGGAAGACATGGGCTCAACATGCATCTTGCTTCTCGCTACTGACCGACGGTTGTTTCAAGTCCGAGTCTCTCTTGAGTACCCTGAGCGGCAAGACCCACTCCCGAATTCATACCACTCCCGTGTTGGTACCTCCATCCCCGCAAGATCTTCCGTGCGCGCGAGCTGACCATTGGCTCTGGCTACAGCCGTTGAGGCATTCCTGAGTGGCTGTTCTGCCGACCGTGTTCCAACCATGTTCAACCCATGTGCACATGCACATGGGTTTTGTTATTCAAGCATTTTCTCCCGTTGCTTTCGTAGCTGGCCAGGCGTGAACGGTCCAGATGACACGTGTGCCTCGGTGCCGCAGCTGACATGGAAGCTTCACTGCAGCTAGAGTTGAACTGCTGTGGCGACACGAGGCTCGTAAGCTCACGATAGACAGCCAAAGCCAAGCTAAGCTACCTGTGCTTCCATGAGCAAGACAGGACGGGAAAGGATTGAGATTGGAGAGTGCTGGCTTGAGCGTCTAAGGGAGTGCATGGAGAAGCTACGGCGGCTTGTGCCTGAGCCAGCAGCCTGTGTGACTGCGCATCATGCTTCATGTGATGCTTTGGTGGGCCACGGGCTGCACGTGGAGCGCGCTGCAACGTACATTGAAAGGGTTGGGGAAGCAGACTGAGGTGCACCAGGACCCAAGCACAACTACAGCGAAGCATGCTTCGATGGCACTTTGGCTTCGCCAGCTGCAGAAGGCGCCCAATTCTCCTGCAGGATTCAAGTTCGAGGTTGTCCGATGTATGGTTGAAGCAGGGATGCGGGAGTGCCTTCGTAGACCAATCTCTTACAGGACCAACGCCCATCAGATGATCCCAACCTGGGCTCATTCAAAAGCTTTTCAGTCGAACATGGCACGAAGGTCTACCTGGTGGTCCTCGCGCTTTCCTTCTTGCCTTGTCTGAAGCCTTTGCCTGCGACAACAGCCCCGTGAGTGATGGGGGAAAGCACAGGCATTGAGTTGAGGATGGGGCTTGAGGCTTGAGGTCATGTTTGACGTCTGCCAAAGTTCAAGATTAGCCTTCAGAGCTTTTCCTGGAACGCAGGGTGCCAAGTTGCATGCCTGAATGAGCATAAACCCGAGACAGACTTGTCTGTGCTGTTGGATGTTTTCAGTTCGTGTCTCACGATCCGACAAGCAACTGCCGTGACTTACAGAGCCGAGCGTACAAACGACTTCGCAGGCTGCATCTGGGTGTAGCTGGGCACTCGGGGCTTGGCTTGAAGGGTTTAGGGATTCCCTTAGGGCTCTCTGTTTACGTGTTTTGCCTCCTTACCCAGTGACTCTGTTCTGCCAAGAACATCCCAAACATCTGTTCCCAACGATTTCCGCCACGTGTCGTCAAGCGCCTCCAGCGCGATTTGTGCACCTCATGGAAAAGTCTTCTATTACGCCCAGCGCATGCATCGCCATCATGTTGGTTGTGATGATGTTCGGTTGCAGCTGCAGTGTCTGCTAAAAAATTCTGCTCCTGCTCCTCCTCCTAACCCTACTACTACGAGTAGCGCTACGACTACAACAAGAGTTTCCTGCTGCTGCTGCTGCTGCTGCTACTGCAACTACATGTAGCACTACCACCAGCACCGCCCCCACTACTACTGCGACAACAACAACAAGTACTACTACCACGTCTACCGCTACACATTGTTCGGCGCCGCATGGAGCCTGAGCTTCGTGCTACCGGGACCAAGCGAGTTCACGTGAGGCGTGCAGGGGCTGCTTGTGTGAATTTCAGTCTTGTTGTGCCTTAGCAATTGGTGTTCACTGCTCTCTGTGTGCGCTGCCATCAGCGGATCCCTTGAGTCTTAGTACCTTTTAGCTGTGAGTGCCGTCCAGCAAAACATGTGCGTTTGAGCGTCTGCAGAGTGAAGCCGCTTTCTGCATCGAAGCACTGTTGCCACTAGTTGGTAGCGGAGCCCATCGATCCAGGGTGCGCGCTCCTGCTTTGGTGGCACAGTGGCCTTTCAGCCAAACCTGCAGCCACCTCCTCAGGACAACGCGGTTCCAGATCTCCTTGAATTTCTCGATGGCAATGGGCCGACGAACGCATCAAGGACAGAGCCTGGAACAACAGCCGAAGAGCCAGCTGAGGCGAGGCCGTGGATGATATATGGCCGGCCTTCTCCCACGGGCCTTCCAGCTGACGATCTTCGAGGCCAAGACCCTTCCGGGGCTTGGGTTCCACCGTTCCTTAATCTTCCGGCAAGAGGGCATCGGGCAACCTACCACGACTTCTCCACTTGGGTTTGCAGAGTTTGCCGCAGTTCAGATTGCCGATGGGACCGCATGACTGATAGCTGGTTCTTTGCGAGATGTGGTTCGAACGACTTGTACGATGCCGACCAACCGGTCACTGAGGAGACTGATCGAGGTGTCTGGACTTACGTGCCACATGCAACAGGTTCCCCGTCATCGAGCTCACCAAGGTCTTCGGCGGCTTCTTCGACTTCTACATGGTCAACGCCAGCGCGTGCACAAGGCCCTCGCCGAGCACATTGGCACGGCCCTCCACCAGACGACTGCGACGCGGGAGAGAGAGCCGAGAGCG